ACCTTGCGCTTGCCAGGCAGGCGCTTTTGCCGCTGAGCTAAATCCCCAGCCCCCTGATAACTGAGTTCTTACCCAAGTTCTGCCCACTGTACTACACGTCTTCTCTGGAAAACAAAGTGAATGGCAAGCAATCTGATATGAGTCATACTGCTTTAGACAGAAAAGTGGATTACCTTGCTACTTCAGGGAACTTTCCTATTACAGTTCAAGCAAACATAATTACAGAATTGCCAGGCACACAGCAAGCCACTTCTCCTGGCTTTTATTTCTTCCTCTTATCTCCTTGCTGGGGTCCAGCAGAGCCAGGAGAATCTTCTAAATCCCCCAGGGTGTCATTCTGACTCAGAAGGTGCAGACTTCCCCTGAATTCTTCCATGAGCTCGCCTGTCCTCTTTTTAGCAGCTGACACAGGAATGTGGAGAAAGACAAGTTGATGACATTATTTGCTCTGGGAGGCAGTCTGCTATAGCCTGACGAAGGCCATATGGGCCACTGGATCATTTCTCAGAACCCCTAGGTGAGCTCTTACTGTCCGATGATAGACTCAACCAGCTGGTGCTTCCTGGCACTTTCCAGGGAGGCAAAGCCCAGCTCTGCAGGCCATGACATGTGATGCTACCCTACAGCCGGAGCCAGCCGGCCAAGAGTGTGGTTGCCGGGAGCAGCAGGTCCAAGCCTGCTAGTCCAGCATTCTAGGGAAAGAAAACTGCTGCCACCACCTTGGGAGCAGGCTATTTTGACATGCAGGAATAAATTCAGAATGCCAACTTGAACTTCCCTGGAGAAATAAAATTTAGATTCATGAAGCATCCTTGCTTTTTTCTGGTAAAGGACATTTAAAGACAGTAAAACATAAAAAGTGTCTCTGACTTTAAAAGCGGTAGTGGTAGGGAAAATAAAGGCGATGGAATGAGCAGGGTGTTTTCAGTGTCTCCGAAAGAATATCAGGTGTACAGACTCAGCCTTGTTCATGGTGTTACACAGATTTCCCAGAAGCAGGACCGATGCGGCAGGCAAGATATACGCGTTGATAGCGTTCTGGGGTGTGTCTTCAAAAGAGGACAGGCTTCTGCCTTCCGCTGAGCTGAGGTCTCAGCTGGTCATCAGCAGCTGGTGGATCTTTCTCAGAGGCTGAGAAAAATACAACCAATAATTAAAATCATGTTTTCCACTATTAAACAACAACAAACAAAACCACCCGCAACTCAATTCCACATGTCTGGTTTCATACAAAACTTTCCACATAAGAAGCTAATTCTGGTAAGGGCAACAACAAATTTCATTACCAAAAAAGCGCTGCCGTTTTCGATCTAACTCATGCGAAGTGAATAAAGGGTGGGGCTTTACACACCTGGTAAACACTGCCCTAAGCTCGGCAGCTCTGCTGCTATTTGTCCATCAGCCACCTGGAACATTTTACAAGCAGAGTCTGAGCTCAAAGTATGGAGCCCGGAACATCTTACTAGAATCAGCCTAACAGCTGGGGGACTTCAAGATGGCAGCCAGCTTGGAAGGCGCTAGGAAAAAACAGAGCAAACAACAGACAAACGAAACTGCTGGACTCCACGGTGCCTGGCGGCTAAGTACAGTTAATTTCTGGTCTCCAGTTTGTCTTCCTACATCCAAGCATTCTGAGCACTAAGCCTATTTTGGCGTTTCAAGAAGAGCACTGCATTAAGAGTCAAACTAGGGTTTCCAGTGCTGGCTGTGCAAACGGCCACAGGGAGTGGGGCTTTGAAAAATTTTTATTGAAGCCTTTCTTCCCATCAGCTTTTCCCTGTGTCCAAGAAGAGCGAGGTTAATGCTGGGTGTTCCTAGTCAGGCTATTGTGAGTGGTGAATGAGATAAAGTTAAGTAGGTCAGAGTGCTCTGAAGCATTTAAAACATCACACAAATGTAAGAGGGTAGTACAAGGAGAGAGCTTGGGAATTCCCTTCCTTTCCTGGGAAGGAAAGGGAAGTATGAAAAAGTCCATGCCTGCTTCATCTGGAAGAAAGAATGCGAGTCCACCTATTTTTATATTGATGGTGAAACACAAGAGGATTGTGTAACAAGAACGCTGGGTGTGTCATCATCCTTATTAGAAAATTAACCCAAGGTTTAACCATCAAGTAATGTGACTGATCTTTAAATAAACACATCTAAATGGGTGTTGGCCCTTCCTGCATAGTAAGTAGTTACCTTGGCAAGCAACATCTTCATTTAAATTATATTTCCCATCATTCAAAAAGAGACTTTTTAAACTTTCTTTGGACCTGTTCCTGGAGCCTCTGGCACATTCTTCTGAATATGTCTGAGGGTGACACATTTTTGTCTTATGTGGATTATCTTCATTTTTGTAAACAGCCCAAAGTTATTTGGCACCAAGACTGGTAAATAAGCTCAGAAATACTATCTTTTAAAATGGAAAATAAACTATGACTATAAAGAAGAAGTCTATCTTTGCATTCTGAGAGTTCAAACAGGAGCTTTTATGAATGGCAGTATTACTGGAAAGGGCTTCTTTCTCCCTAAAAGTGACAAGAGGACGTCATTGGAAGACATATCTCATTTGTAGCTGCACCTTTCATTATTTATCTTGCAAAACTGTTTGGCATTAAATTTTGAGTTGCCAGAAAGAACGCTGCAACTAATCAACGGTTTCTATCATTTTTAACAGAGCTCCAGGGGGCATCTAACCCTCCCCATTTACATATGGATTAACTGGCTTGCAGCAGTACAGATGTTTCTAATGAACTGACATCTGGATCTTCTGGATACAGCACCCAGAAGATTAGATTCTAACCAGCAGACTCCATGCTCCCTTAAAAAAGTTTGGACTTTTTTCCACTTATGAAACAATGCATCTGAAAATTAAAATAGCACCAGTATCATTTCAGGGTAACCTCAAGATTACTTCTGGGGCAAGTAATTGTGAGCATATAAAAATAAACACAATGGTACTTCTCATTCATTACATTACACTGTGGGTCGTTCGGTGTTAAATAATGCCAATGACTATTTATGGAAAATATCTTCTCCCTAGCTCATTTTCGGTCTGCTGCAGTAAAATTCGCGCAACACTAAAAGTCATCCTTTGACCGCTGTAAAGGGCGCAGCTCGGTGGCATTTGCTACATCCCAGTGTTCTGCCACCATCACCACAATCTAGTTCCAAAACATTTTCATCAAAGATAATCTTGTATCCGTCTTAAGCAGTCGCTCTCCATTTTTCCCTCACCCTTGCAGCTCTTGGCAACTCTAATCCGTCTAAGCTGGTTTCCGTTTCCGTGGATTTGCCTATTCTGAACATTTCCATAAGGTATGTGGCCTTCTTTCTCACTGAGCATAACTACTTTTTTGTTTTTTCTAGCATTAGGGATTGAACCCAGGGTCCCTTTACATTGAGCTATGTCCCCAGACTTTTTTTCTTTTTTAAAGTCAAGATCTCGTTTAATTGCCTAGGTGGGACTCCAGTTTGTAATCCTCCTGCCTCAGCCTCCCTCAATACCAGAATTAAAGGTTACATTGTGCACAACTCAGCTTTTTCTTTTTTTTTTTTTTGTCTTTTTGAGACAGGGACTTGCTACGCAGTTCAGGCTGGCCTTGAACTCAGTCATGCAGCCTAGGCTGGCCTCAAACTCACAGTGATCCTCCTGTCTCAGCCTCCCAAATGCCGGGATTACAGGCGTGCACCACCACATCCGGCGTGCATATTATTTTTAAAATTCATTCATATTGTATTATGTATCAGTACTTCATTTTGTGTGTGTGTGTGGTACTTCTTTCTTGGGGATTGAACCCAGGAGTTCATATACACAAGCATTCTACTACTGAGCTACAACCTCAGTCCACTTCATTGCTGTTTACCACTGAATAATCCCATAGTATGGCTATATCACATTCTATGGCTAATATTCACATAGTATGGCTATTACCCATTCACTCACTGATGGGCTTTTGGTTGTTTTTGGCCATTCTGAACAGTGCTGCTATGATCATAGCCATACAAGTTTTTGTTTAAAGACCTGTTTTCAATTCTTTGGAAAAAGAGTGGAACTTCTAGATCATATGACAAATCCTTGTATAACTTTGCGAGGAACCACCAAACTCTAATTCTATGCTTAAAACTTACAAGGTGCCTTTATTTTTTTTTTTTCCTTTTTTTTTTTTGGCACCTGGGAATTGAACTCACAACCTTGAGCTTGCCAGGCAAGTGCTGTGCTGCTGAGCTATATCCCTGATCCCTTACAAGGTGTCTTAATCACCAGTTAGGATAGCTACAGACAAACCCCAGGCAGGGACCGAAGAAATCTCTTTTTCAGAAACACTGATTAAAGCAGCTGGGCTGAGCCTGGGTCAGATTTGTTCCAAGGTAAGGTTCCGTGCAAGACTCTGCACAGATTCCTTGCTGCTTTACCTGTCACAACATGTACTGGCTGAGCAGGAATACCTTCCTGCCTCGGAGGCATCCTTGGTTTTCTTTTCATTTCATTGCGCACACTTGGGGAGGGGGAGGTTGTTAATTAGCCTGACATACAGGCTTCCGCTTTCTCTGCCGCAGAGTTCAGATTAGCACGTGGAGTCAATCCACAAACAGGGCTTGGGGTGCTACTGCTAAATCCCTGTCCTGGGCAAAGGCTAGATCTTTCATGGTTCAAAAGCAAGGCTTCCCTACACTAGCTGAGACACAGACCTTTTACACAGGGTAGACTTTTACCCTTCCGGACAGCACGCGGCAATCCTGATCTTAGTCATCCAAAGATACTAGGGATGATACTGTCCTACTGCGGAGACTGCGATTGTCAGGCGAGTGGGCCTGGCCAGCAGTGTGGGAGATTCTCCAACTACAGGCATTGTTTACTGCAGGCAACGCAGCGAGTCATGAGACCTCTGAGTCACAAACCCAAGCCCAGACAGCAACAGATTAGCACTGATTTTTAAACTTAAACTTGCTCATGAGCCTCCCGGTGACCTCTCAGGCCAACTCCCTATCATACAGGAAGTTTCTGAGCTACACGAGCTCAAACCAGGGAGCGTCAGGCTGCCAAAACCTGACCGGCCTTTGGCTTTTTCCGCTTGGAACTAAACACCGTACTAAGAATGAAACAGAAGTCAGCTTCTGGAGTCTCTGCTAGCAGTCATCCTGCCAACCCTGCTGTCACTTGTCGCTTCTCTCCAGGCAGGCCTTTCAGGTGTCCTGGCCTCAATCAGCTGTTAGAAGAAAAAAAAAGTCTCTCGTTGGTCACATCCTCTGTAATCTGGCAGGAAACCTAAAATTTGCCCGCTGCCGCGCCGTCTGTTTGCTTATCTGCTTCCTCGTGGGGAAGAATCTGCATCAGCGTCCGGCTGAGGGGGATTTTCACCATGACCTCACCCTCTTTGCCACTCACGGATGTCAGCACTACCGAGATCGTAAGGCAGCTCGGGCGGGATCGCACTCGGAGCGAGACATTAACGATCGCATGGCAGGTGGACCACGACTCCAGTTCTTTCGCCTCAAACCAAAGCTCACGCACGGGTCAGAAAACGCCCTGAAGGCTGAGCGCGAGGGCGGGGTGCACGTCGGTTATAGGCGAGGTCCTGGGAGAGCAGAAGGTCAAAAGTCACCTTAAGAAAAGGCACCAAAACCTTCCAGGCTCAGGCGGCCGTTGCAATAATTTCCTAGCCAGGGGCCTCGCAACCGAGCGGGTCGAGGGGACAGCAGGCGGCGGGCGCGCAAACTAAGGGAAAGGGAGCCCCAAGGGCAGGGGCCACGTCGCGACCCCCGACCTCCTGGACTCGGAGAGCGAGCCCTTCTTTGCGGAAGTGCGCGCAGCTAGAGGGAAACAGAAAGTCGGGTTCCGCAGGCGCGGCGGGGCCGGCACACGTGACCGCGGCTCGGGGGCCTCCTCGCGCGCGCCCAGCCGCAGCGGCC